AGCCATCCATTCCATGTTTTTTCAGAGTTCTGGCGAACTCACACTGGTTGTAGATCTTGGCTTGGACAGTGACAGAAAGCAAAAGGAACCCCAGGGTGAGGAGAGCCTTCATGTTGACTGGGAATCAGCTCACCAGCTGCTTGGAGCAGCCAGGCCACAGTATTTAAACATCCTTTAACTCCCATCATCCTCTAGTGGTATGAGGGGGCTCTACCCTTTGAACTGTGTGCAAAGCAGGGAGTTCTTATTGATCCACAAACTTTAAAATTATTTTTATTTTCTCCCAGTGTTTGAATAGGGATGTTCTTTCTGTTCTGTAGATAATGATGAATTGATATCATTTAATGACTTGGCTCACAAACAACAAGGAGATAGAACTCCTGAAGAGGAAGCCCATTTCATTTTATATTAATTATAACCAATATAAAGAAAAACAAATAGGTTGTGTTTTCCTGCTAAAAATATGGTGTGACTATAAATCAACAGCCTTTTAAAATTAAGTTATTTTGTGTGCATTTACCATTTTCTATTGTCTTTTTCTCTTAAAATTTCTTACATAGACCTTCCCACAAAATGAATCTCTTAGTATTTATTGAGATACAACTTTGATTAGTCAGTTTCCTTTTTTAGACTTTCTTGATAGTATTGTAAGTTGTGTATTGTTGGGTTTTTTTCAGAGACAAGGTCCCACTGTGCAACCCTGCCTGGTCTGGAAATTGCTATCTACACTAGGGTGTCCTTGAACTCTTCTGCCTCCTGAGTGCTGAGGTTAAAGACATGTGCTACCGAGCACAGCACCAAGGTTTTCTTTTCTTTTAAGTTATTTATTTAAGTCCTTTCCTAGCATAAGGAAATTAATAGAAGATCAATGTGTGGACATAAGAAACAGCGACTTTAACAGCCTGCACATTTTGTGGTCCATATCCAGAATAATAGTTCAAACCAGTGCTGTGTGTACCAAGTCTTTCTTGTCAGGCTTTCTTTGGCCTGCCAGCCCCCAAGTGATGACACAGGCTTATTATTCATTAGGAGAGCTTGGCCTTTAGCGTAGGCTAGTTACCAACTAGCTCTTACAAGTTAAATTAACCTGTTTCTGTCACTCTGTTTTCTGCCACATGGCTTTTTACCTGTCCTCTGTATGTCCAATTCCCTCCTCTTTCAATGACTTCTCCTGCAATGCCAGATACTATTCCTGGGTTCCTCTGTTTGGCAGGAAGTCCCGCCTATTCTGTCTTGCTTAGCTATTGGACATCCAGGTCATTGTTAAGCTAATCAGGTGCCTTAGGCAAGTGAGGGAAAGCATAGACACATCTCCACACAGTGTAAACAAATATCCCTAAGCAGCTATTCCTCTTCATAGCTGGGTGAAGCAGTCCCATGAAAGTAATGGTAGAGAGTACAGTTATCTAGTCCCCAGGGAAAGGGCTTGGTCCTGATGCAGAGATGGAAGTAGTGATGAACTTGGATTGTATCCCTTATGGTCTCAATGGTGTGACTTCAGGAAGCCCTTCAGCATGTGCTCTACCAAGGACAATGTGAGACAGTGAGTGAGGGAATTCCCTGTCTGAGCTGAGGCCTGCTTGATTTTGGTGGTGTTCAAAACCCACCCAACAGTCAACAAACCCTTCCATTGGCCATGGAGTAGCAAATGAAGTTCCAGGTGTCAGCCCACCAGAAGGAAAATCTCTGATGGGCCAGTGTCATTAAGGAAGGCCACGCGACTGCAGAGCCTGGAATGTCTTTTGCTTCTGCTCTAACGTTACATGTTTGCTGCAGCGCTCTTTCTCTGGTATCCAGCACGGTGTGAGTGGACATGGGAGATCTGTAATATAGTGTGTTTCTCCCTTGGAAACATCTGGTTCTACCGGGCACTTTACCTGTGGACTGTCAAGAAGATGACCCTTCCCTAACTCTACTGTCTAATTTCATAATAATGATACAGAGTTTTGATGAATAAAAATAACTCAAGGATATGTTTCACAGCTAAGGCCTGTGAGTGCCACCTTAGGAGCTGCTCAGGCTAATGATTAAAAGGAAAGCACCTGAGTCCAGGAGTGAGGCTGGCTCTGATTCTCTTAATGATGAAAAGAGCCGGTCAGGTACCATTAGCTAAAACAAAGCTTCAAAATAACTGCAGTTAGGTCAGATGTGTTGCTAAATTTTTAGGATAAATAAAGTTAAAGTTCACAGGGACACCAAGCTGAGCTATGTGACTCATTAGGCTAGGATAAAAAGTACAAAATGGCCTGATTGTTGCTAGCTCCCTTTGCTAGGTCTGGTTAAAAATCATTACACATATTTCTGCCCTCAATCTCCTGATAAAACAAAAAACCAGGAGCAGCAATTGATGAGTGTGTATATATACCCTAAAGTAGAGCTGACTGATTCTTTGGGAGGGGTTTGGGGGTGGTTGTTGTTTATTTTGTTTTTGTTTTCTTGAGACAGAGTTTCTCTGTTGCTTTGGAATGTGTCCTGGAACTCACTCTTTAGACCAAGCTGTCCTCGAATGTCTGATCATTTTTCATATATAAAAGTTTAGGTTTATGATTATATTAAGATTTCTTATTAGATATCTTTCAAGATAAGTAATAAATTGGCCCTTCCTTTGTAACAGCAGAATGTAGCCTGCCAGTAAAAGTCCTGATAAGAATAGCTTGCTGGCCCACACAGTTAACCTAGAACAGGTTTCTTGGTTACGAATGTATGTGAGTTCTTGGGATAATTTGTCTTTCACTGTAATACATAAAATGTTTAATCATGTAAGGGAGATGAAAAACATGTTTTTACCTGTAATCATTATAATCATTCACTTGAAAAGCAAAATGGAACCACATAGCAATTCCTTTACTGCCTGAAAAACTTTGTTGGTATATATAAGCGGTAGAAAAAAAAAAAATCGAGTAAGAAAAAAACAGAGAAAACCCAGAAAGTACATGAGAGTACAGAAAACAAAGAAGAAACCATCAGGAGAGTGTGTGAGTGTGTTTTCCCCCTAAAACTCATCAGATAGGAAAGTGCAGCTTACACAGACTCCATGCATTCCTCTCTAAGCCTTGTTGTGCTGGATGCTGACCCCACAGACAGCAGTGAAATGCAGGTATACCACCACCATTTGGACCTGGACCCAGGTGATAGTTTGAAAGGAAGTGGCTCCCAAAAGGTGTGTCTTTGATGGAGGAAGTGTGTCACTGTGGGGTTGGATTTTAGGTCACCTATGCTCAAGCTACTCCCAGTGAGACAGTCTACTTCCTGCTGCATGTTTATCAAGATGTACCCAGCACCATGCCTGCCTGCATGCCGCTATGTTCCTCTCCAGTATGACAATGGACTGAACATCTGAAAACTTAAATCAACCCAATTCAATATTTTTCTTTTGTGAGAGTTGCCATATTCATGGTGTCTCTTCAGAGCAACTGAAACCCTAACAAAGACAACCCAAAAACGCTGTTTTAAAGTATAAATTAAGCTCTTGTGAACAACTTTCCTGAAACCTTTCAAACAGGGTCTTGCCCTCCTCTCTCCCAAACCATTTGCCAATTAGAGCATAAAAGGTCACTAGGAAACAATGGGATTTTAAAAATGAAATTGACCCAGATGAACATATCCAAATGAGTATTACCTTTAGACATCATCAGCTCAGGGAGCTGTGCACATTCTTGGACAAAACACCACCAGAACCCCAAAGCAGCATGCCCAGGACCAGCCTAGGAAAGAAGCTACCAAGTCATACAACATGCCAACCTTATTTCCAACAATACAATTTCTGCTCCATTTGGCCTGAGATAGTTCAAGTTGTGTCTACAAGTCATTGTTTCTGCAGCCTACTCAAAATCAAGAACAATGCCACTTTTTCAGATTAATTTTGATTATTTAACAATGCACACTAAGATGGAATTGGGGGATTTGAAATGACAGAAGCTGGATAAAGTTCACTAGCTGTCTCTTCTGTGCCCATCCTAACCCAGTGCTCAGAACACACAGTTATCATCTGTACAGCTTTCTGCATTCTGTTGACTAAACAGATTTTTCATTACAAACATTTGAACAGTTATAAACTTATGTTCTCTTGAGGATTAAATAGGCAAATATTGACTCAGCATCCAGAGCCAAACCACTATCAATGATCCAGAGTGAATACTTCAAAGGCCAGGGGTGGTTCTGATCTCAAAAGTTATTTCTCCTGGTGTAGGAGTTAGAGGCAGTGACAAAAGCCAATTATACTTTTTGTTTCATTTGATACAGTGAGCAAGCGACTTAAAAGTAGAACAGTAACAGGGTAACAAGTTTTCCTTCTTAAAACAACACTCTGCATTGGCTATGACTTGAGTGCAGCTTCATTCTGCTAGGCTGAGGAAAAATTACTAAGAAAGTATTTCCTGAGAGCTGTCTGCTCTTCCTGAGGACCCAGTTTTCATTCTGCATCCAACACAAGTTGTACTGGCCTGTTCCTCAAATTCCAGGGTATCTCTGCACTCTTCTGACTTTGTAGGGCCCAGCACACATTGTACAGATGTGCGGAGGCAGAGTGGAAAGACAAAGCCAAAAGCAGAACACTGTAGATTTGGAGCTGAAAATAAAGAATTTAAAAATAAAGTATGTTTTAATGCACGTTAAACCAGTACAGATACAGAGAGTGAGAGGGGCAAATAGAAAAGACACGTGATGTGGCTGTCACTGTGGTAAAGTTTTCATGGCTACATGACTGTAAGTTTAAGAATGTGGGAATCACTTTGTCAAGAGCCTCTAAGGACAGGGCGGATTGGTCAGCTTGGTTTTGGATATTACACCAGAAATATTCAGCTAGCTGTGTGTAGATGAAAGTGCAGACACAGCTTATACGCAGATGTTGATGTAGGGCAAAAGAACCTATGCACTATTAAAGTTACCATGATTTTTCCAATACATAACCATTTTCTCCCTGGGACAACACGTGAGAATAAACACAGAGAAGATTTGCAATGAAAATCATTTAATGTCTTTTTTTGTAGTTTTTCTCAATGTGCTTAGTTTTGCTGATGCAAGCTCCTCTGTCTCAGAGTCAGTTTATATGCATGAAGCTACTTTAAGAAAGTTAATTGCCAGCACAGTCACTAATCTGTCCTGAGTGCCTCATGATTAGCTAGAGGCGTGGGGACATTATATCAAGGGTTAAGACACACTTTGACATGAGGTGATAATTTACTTTTTAAGCCATACAAATAGGACAACTCTAACAACATACGCTTGAACGGTCACACATGTCATGACAAGTTTCTAAGTTGAGGAGTCTCAGTCCTATCCACTCAGAGTTCTGTCCCCTTACAAACCCACCTCACACCACAAAGTGCTTGTTCTAACTTTCTGGGTGTTGAGCCCACACACAAGGCCTGGGAGCTCACACAGCTGCCATTTTACCCAAGATCTACTCAGAGTCCTGTAAGCATTTGTTGTATGTCTATCCAACACGGGGAAGATGCAGATTAATTCTGATGGAATTTAATGTGACTTACTTCATAGGTGAAGAACTGATGTATAGAGATGTGTGCAATGGCCTAAGTGCTAACCACTGTCCCCAGCATGAAGACATTGGTCAGCATGAAGCCTCTCAGGAAACAGTTCCATTGTGCTTCTGTTTCTGTTTAAGGCCTGCTTGTCTGAAGGGGAATCCAGGGAAGTGTGAGCTTTCCTGTAACTACTCCTATAGCGATACAGACACAGAATGAGCTGAAGGGGAAGCAAACAGCATTAGACTCCGCAGTTCCGAAGATACTGGGTGAGATCTCGGTTTTGACAGTGGGATTTCCATGCCACCCTGTGGAGGAAAGTGAGACACAGAAGAAATGATTAAACTCGTCTCCTCTGTCTCACACACACTCAAACCTTTGGGGGGAAACAGTGTAACAGTGACACTAATGGCGATTGTGCTCTGGGCCAAGATCTAGTGTGGAACACAGGCTAGAGCATCGCCCAGAAACTGCTCAGACTAATGGAGCTTTGTCTACATGGCTGTGTGATCCTCTCCAAACCCTGAGCAGAGCACAGGATGCTCAATGTCAATGTGACATCAAGTGCATGGAACAGTTGACAGGTTCCACAAATAGTCTGGAGGCCTGACCAGGAAGCAGTCATGTGTGGGGATTCTCACACTCTGGAGGAATTCCCTAAAATACGGAACCTGCAGCTGAACCTGCAGAGCTCACAATGACACTTGGGCCTGAGAAAGACCCCCTGCATATATAACACAACCAGCGTTTCCCCTCCCAAGTTCCAGCATACCATGCTCTAATGCCTTGTGGGTCCCTCACAACCCTCTTTGCACATTGTATGGCTTGAGTGATGTCATCCTGGAGCAAGGCTGAAAGACAGGGGTGAGGAATGACAGGGACTGTTATAGAACCCATTTTCACTTCAGATCCAGTCAGCTCTCCTCTGTGACACTGAGCAGTGAACACAAGAAATTATTTTCCAAGTGTCCATGCCTCTGTGGTTATTGTATCCTGTTGGCATGGTGAAAGTCATTTTATTTCTCATTTATAGAGTCCCTGGGGGTTAGGATACACTTGAGTGTAGAGTGTTCTTAGGATCCCGGCACTGATACAAAGTAAAGAACACACACAAGTAATGAGAGGTCGCAGGAGGCGGTGGGACAATCAGCTACCATGAGGGAAGACCCTCTTGTTCTCACACTGGAAATAAGACAGTCAAAAATTGTCACCTGGGTCTACCAGTGCAAATTCATCCTAAAGAAAAACAGGGGCTGGAAAGATGGCTCAGTGGCTAAGAGCACTGGATGCTCTTCCAGAGGGCTTGATTCCCAGCACCCATGTGGCCGCCCTCAACTGTCTGAAATTCCAGTTATAGGAGATGGAAGCCCTCTTCTGGCTTCCACAGTTTCCAGGCACACATGTGGTTCCCAGTCCTAGATGCAGGCAAAACACACACATAAAGGTAAATGGATGCTTTAAGAAAGAGAACAATGCACAAGCCTCTGTGGATAAAGCTCTTCCTGACAATTAATAACCAGTAAAATAGGAGCAGCAGGAGCTTTAAGACTGAAGAAGGAAGAGTGGTGTTTCCATCATACAGAATTTTGCTACTGCATTTTATCCACTGTTTCGTTGAGAATCCAGGTCAGTGTCTGCTACTATGGATGCAGTTTTCAGTACTAACCATTTCAGGAAGCTGTGAAAGCATGATTTAATTTGTGTAAAACTGTGAAATCTGTACATGTTTTCATGTGAGCACACATGTGCATGATATAATTTTACATGGACCTACAGCACAGATTTACAGACTAGAAGAGCAATGTCCAAAGGTTTCCAGTCCCATCAACTCTCTGAACACTCAACAGGGAGCGGTGTTCCTCTTTCCTGTAGTTCTACTGCCTCCCAATGACTGTAGGCGAGTGTACAAAATGACTTAAAGATAGGCCAAGTAGGCTACAAAGAAGGCTCCACAAATCTCTTTTACTTGAAATTAACCAAGTAAGAATTAATAGTTCCCTGTTTAGAGTGCTTGACTAAAATGTACCAAGTCTTGCGTTTAATTCCTTCAGTAGAAAAATAGAACAATATTGGCCTATTTTATTCATTCACTATTACTTCTATCATGGCATGAGTTCAAGGTTCACCATCCCTCTCACAATCCTAATATGAACCTCATTTTTATCTTGTTAATAATAAGTGTCATCTTAAATACATATACCTTTGTTATTTTGTTAGATAAAATAATGTCTAGCTAATAATTAGATTGTTTGGACAAGCAAATGAAAGACTTTAAAAACAAATACCTTCACATAGAAACCAGTTGGACAAAATGTCAGCTATTTAATGGTACGCTCTCATATGGTCTTCACTGTAGGAATATTTTCATTTGTATGTTACCAGTCTTTATAATAAAATTCATTCAGGGAACAATGACCATAACTACTATTAAGTAAACTGCTAGAATGGCAATCTTTAGGACAAAACACCAAGAAGGCCACTTATAATTAATTAGTATGTATTCTAGAAACTTTCCTATGTTATAAAATATCCACTTGTTATACATGTTTATTTTTGTTAATTTTAATTATGTGTCTGTATACATGGGTTAAAAAATTCCCATCAATATTTAATGATACCAGTTCTTTATTTTTAAATTTTCTATTAATTTAACATGTGTGCCTCAGTGTGTGGTGGTATATGCATCAGTGAACCTATGTGTGTGTGTGTGTGTGTGTGTGTGTGTGTGTGTGTGTGTAGAACTCAGAGGAAAGCCCATATGTAGAAGTCAGAGCACCCCCAGAAGCTGTTCCCTACAAGTAGTCCACATTTATTCTGAGACAGGGTCTGCTATTGGAACTGGCTTACAGACCAGGCTATGCTGGTTGACCAGTTGGACCCATGGATCTGCCTATGTCAGACTCCCCAGTGCAGGTCTTACAAATACATGCCAACAAACTCAGCTTTTATGTGGGTGCTGAGGGCCAAACCTTGGCTTAGGGGATGTTCTGTATGAGCTGTCTTCCCCGTTTCTGTTTATATTGTTTGTTCATTGAGTGAATTTTGGACGTGGAACAAAGAACTCTTTGATTGGCAGGCACAGAATCTCTGCTCTTGCACATAAGAGCAGGTGGGTTGTTTGCCATCCCTCCAAACCTGCCATGTCTTACCACTGCAGGGTATCCCACAGGCATTCACTGCTCCTGGGGTTTTGCCATCATTACACCAGTATCGGCTATTGATCTGAAATATCCCATAGTCGGTGCTTTGGTCTCTACGGTTGTAATTTATAGCTTGTGTGTTGTAATTACTCTCATGCTGAGCCAAACACACCCCTAGAAAGAAAAAGAACATTGATAATAAGCAACAACAGTAAATGCCTCATACTGTGTATTAGAATGAGCTCCTTGAGTTGTCTGTATTTTCCAAGTTATTTGCTTTATAAGTACAATCATATGAATGAATTATAAAATATGCTACTACTAGTTCAGGCCGCGTCTGGCTGTGTTGATCAGTTCAGTCTCTGGTCTGAACTTGTCCTTCTACCTCTGCCTTTCAAGCAGGTGGAACTGCTCTACCCCGTCAGTAAGTGATTTTCATGTGTCTCAAAGAGAATCGCTTTGAGAACAAATCAATGTGCACAGAAAATAAACAGGATTATTTTTTTAAATACTCAAATAGATGAACCAGTCATAGTCATGCTCACTTTAATTCCCAGCAGTCAATAGGCAGGGCCTGGTGATTCTGCCTGGTAATTCTGCCTGTGTGGATCTGAGACCGGCCTGATTTACACAGCGAGTTCCAGGCCACCCAGTGCTATACAGTGAAACCATGTGTCCTCCCCCACCAAAGTAAAATAGCTCTTTTTCCATTGTAGTCCCCTGCCCTATCTATCCTCAGGACAGCTCTGCCTAAAATAAAACACAAAGAGTGTTCAGGTAGATTTTATAAGTTATATCATATAGATATGGCGATAGAAGATGTTCGTATTGGAAAAATGAGGATTTCCTCAGAGAGATGTTCTTATAACCAAGCTGAATTTGCATGTTAATTTAGAATTCTTTTTTTCTTCTCTCTGTCACTAAGTGTCTTACTTAATCACATTACATGCGATCTCCTAGCTCAGCAACCCACTGCTTGGATTCCAGTTGTGTGTGCCATCACAAATGGCTGATGAGAATCTTGAAAGGGAAAACGTTAAAACAGGAAAGGCTATTAGACAAATCTGTCCATCCATCTACCCACTCACCTTTCCATCCATCCATCCATCCATCCATCCATCCATCCAGCCTCCATCCATCATCCATCCATCACCCATCCATCCAACCAGCCAGCCAGCCATCCATGCACACATACATCTCTGTATTCACTTGTTCTTGGACAGTTACTCTGTGAGTACTAACTTCCTTAATTGAATCTGGAAAGCACATTAGTTACAATTACGTAGATGGAGTCAGCCATGAACAACTTTTCCTCATCCTCATCTTCCACAGTGCAGAATGAATGACCATCCCAGAGTGAAGAAGCGTAACAAATCATTTATATCCAGATTCAGCAGACCTCAATTGAGCAGAAAGCAGGGGAAAATAGGGTCCCTCTACCCTACATAGGAAAATTCAGAAAATTTGATTTTTTTTTTTTTCTCAAAAGGTCCATAACATGAAGACAGATAGAAGTCACTCCAGGCTCTCAGCACTCAAGTTCTGAATGAGTGAGTGTCCTCCCCCCCCCCATCTTCTCTCAGACCCCTGTAGACTGTTGTGTCTGTAGCAACTGGAACTCCCATTGACACTCCAAGAACACCTCAGTCCTGTTGTCTCAGCCTGGCACAGGTGCCCCTCCCATGCCCGCACCCAGTATCTGTGAGGAAGAAGACAAACGCTGATGTTCTTGATCAAACCAAGTCAAGCACACAGGAATCCTAGACGCTTATTGACTCCAGCTCCCTCTCTGCTCACTCATTCCTCCTTGTACCTGTTCTGCAGGGGCTGCTTATCTGGAGAGGTCAAGACGAGGACTTACAGTTTGCCAGGCTGATTCCCCTGTAGCCATCCATTCCACTTCTTTTCAGAGTTCTGGCAAACTCACAGCGCTCATAGACCTTGGCCTGGACAGTGACAGAAAGCAAGAGGAACCCCAGGGTGAGGAGAGCCTTCATGTTGACCTGGGAGCTGGATCTGCTGCAGGCTGGTCAGAGAAAGCTTGCCTGGTATTTAAGCATCCTCCAAGTTCCTCCTTTCTTTCCAAGCCATGACCTCCAACTTTTGAGCTGTATGCAAAGAGGAAGTTCCTACAATTCTACTGATTTCTGCATTTGACCTCCTTTACTCACAGCTCTGATTAGAGATGTCCTGGGGGTCCAGGAATAAGTACATAATACTTATTTTAAAGTGTTTCTATTCAAGGCTCATTAAGAATGGGGAGGTAGCTCTGTTTCCAAAAGAGGATGTTTCTTCCATTTTATTACAATGTTAAACAACTAAAAGGAAAAGTGATACAACCAATATTTACAGTTAAAACCAGCAACTACCTTTTACCAACATTCCTTCATACCAAGTTATTCTGTGTGCACTCACCATTTTGCATTGATTATCACTTGAATCATTTTATGTGTATGTTTCCCCCAAATGGGCCTGCCCCATGTACCTGCTCTCTGGAAGGATGTGTCACGTGCCATCACATTGCTTGTCCAGTTTCTACTCTAGAATGTTTTCATTGCTGTTGTTCATTTTGTGTTACTATTATAGGTGAGGTTCCCGTGGACATCATTCCTAGCTCGCTTACACCATGCATTTCCTCCCCTCTCCATGTTAAAACATAAAGGGTCACCATAAAGCAATAGGACTTCAAAACTCAACCTAACCAAACACATAAAGCTAATGATTTATACCCTTTAAAAGTGATCATCTCAGGAGGCTGTGGGTATTTTTCAAATAAAGTTTTCATTTACCGATACCGAGAGGACTAAGAAAGGAATTTTTTCCAATGTTCAATTATTATTTTTACTTTACATGTATATTCATTTTTTGCTTGCATGCATATGTGTGTACCCCATGTGGGTCTGAACTCATGGAGGTGAGAAAAGGGTGCCAGATTCCTGGAACGGAGTTACAGACAGTTGTGAGATACCATGTGGGCGCTTGGAATTGAACCTGTTCTCTGGAAGAGCAAGTCCTCTCAAGTACTGAGCTGCCCTCCAGCCCCTTTGGGCTCCCTTAGCTATGGCACCATCAGAAAGCAAAAGCATTAGGGCCCTGTCGTTACTGTATTGGGGACAGATTCCATGTCCCACACAAAGTCACCCTCATTTCCATCAGTGGCAGTTACTGTGTTGGACATTAAAGATCTCCTCGGTACTTGTTGGTCACCCTGAGCCAAAGTGGTAGTGTAGATCTAAGTTATTTGTCCTGTGGCAGGAGATGTGGACATTGACAAGCCTTAATTTTATTTTATTACTCCATCAAGATGAGCAAGGAATTTAAAAATAAAATAGCAAATTGGTATAATTTCTGGGCAATCTTTATTCCCAGAGAAATTTGCTATATACTATATATTTTACTCAGTAAGTTATATGAATTTTGCCTTCTTAAGAAAGGTGGTGACATTTCCCTGATTTTTGCCATATTGCAATGAACTATTATTTTCCTTTATAATTTATTAGATTTTTGTTTGTTTTCTTGTTTGTTTTAGAGCAGGCTACGTTGTGTTGTCCTGCTTGGAGAGTCTGTAGGCACCCTCTTGCCTCTCCCCATAACACCCCAGCACATGTTCCTTCTTATTCTTGATTCACAAAAGTAGAAGAAAATTAATCCAGTATCCCGAGTGCGTGTGTGTGTGTGTGTGTGCGTGCGTGCGTGCATGTGTGTGTGTGTGTGTGTGTGTGTGTGTGTGTGGTAAAAGGGAGTCTCAGGCCTGGGACAAGAAATTCATGGTGGTTCTCATTGCCACAATTTTTGATGTTTCTAAGGCATGCCCTGGGGGTGGAGAGGTGGACACACAGTTCTGACTCTGTTCCCTTGCAAATTCCATTAATTTTTAATGGACTAGATCTTTAATGCATATGTCAGGTGGAGCCAACTGCTTTTTTGTTTGGTTTTGTTTTGCGAGACAGGGTTTCTCTGTGTAGCCTGAGCTGTCTTGGAACTAGCTCTTGTAGACTTGCTGTTGCTAACATCCAGGCCCACAATGAAACAGCAGGCTCTGCTCTGTCCCTCTGGTGGGCACACCCTGGTTACAGACTATCCATTCAGCTCCTTGAAGCTTAAGATTGCTTACAACCAACCAAAGCTCACCAGATGCCCATAAAAACACAACAGAAAAGAAGGACTAAACAGCGGTTCCAAACCTATGGGCTGAGACCCCTTGGGGGGGGGGTTGCATGTTAGATAGCCTACATATCAGATATTACATTACTATTCATAACAGTAGCAAAATTACAATTGTGATGTAGCAATGGAATGGTTCTATGGTTGGGGCGGCATGAGGAACTGTTTCAAAGGGTTGCAACATTAGGAAGGTTGGGAAACACTGGACAAGGAAATGGTACAGCAGAAAGAGGGTGTAAAGTGAATGCTTTGGAGACCAGAGGAAACATCGCATGTACGAAACAAGCAAACATGCTGGAATAAAGAAATGATCCCAAAACAAAATGCAAATTATACATCAGCTTCTATTTAGACTGAGATTTGAAACTGGGAGGGAGAGAGTACCATGGAATCCCATGAAGAAACTTTTTCTGCTAATGGCTCTTTGGTTCCATGACTAACGTTCCCTACAGGCACTCCTAGGCGTTTGAGCTTCTTGTGACACTATTCCCTCAATCCTATTTTCTACTAGTGTTAAATAATTAAAATGTATTTGAGCCACTATATAAGGACGTGAAAGCAAACAGCCTTTGAAATTCCTTGATGTAGAAAGAAAGGAAGGAAAGAAGAAGGAAGGAAGGAAGGAAGGAAGGAAGGAAGGAAAAAAGGAAGGAAGAAAGGAAGGGAAGGAAGAAAGGAAGAAATCCTTGATGTAGTCATGGAGATCACCTGTGATGCTGTAAGTAGCCTTTGCTACCATTTGTCAAAGAGTGAACACAATGTTGCAGGGCTACATCCCGTAACTGCTGAGGACCTCAGGAGACCATGGATAGGCAGCTGCACTCCATTCATTATTCAGGTATGCTACATACCCCATGCAGTTTTGGCTCGGGGTACAGAGGACCTACCCTCACCTTTGTTGTGGCAGCGAGGATGCTAAGACACAGAGAGGGTGGAGATGGACAGCCTTTCCGCTCACCTGAGGGGGGAAAAAAAAGATACTAAAAGGTCCTTTGTCCACCGTGGAGTTGGACGATATCTTTTGACAAAACATCCTTACTCTGTCTGGGTCAGATTTACTTCCTGCCTCAGCAAGACCTGACCCCAGCCTACACATGGTATTTAATGGCATCATGAGTTGTGTGGATTGATAGAAATAGCACATAATTTGGGTGCACTGAATCCAGATACGTGTATTTTTATTGAAGATTAACGATAACTTTCCAGTTTTCTAGGCATCAATAATTGCAACTGAAACTGCTCTCACTGAAAATTAGATGTAGGTGCAGGTCCTCTGATGCAGATTCCAGACATCCCTGGCATTTGATGCTGGCTGCCATCTGGTTGGCGTTGCCTTTTGAGTCAGTTTTATTGTGAGAAGAAAGTACATCATTCAACATATTCTAAAGGGGTGGGGGAGGACTTGGTTATGCTGCACTGCTAATACAGTTTCGAGCAAGACTTGGGAGATGTTGTATGATTAGTTAGCCTGAAAAAGAGCCATAGCCTAGTAAGAGCCTGCAGGGTACCGACCCCCAGGGCTCAGGAGAATTATCTGAGGCAGCGGTTGCTGCACACTCACGCTCTGCCCATTTTCTCATTTCCTATGCTCCGCAGTGGAAATCAGCTAGCGGTCTGGAGCTCACCTGCATGCCGTCGGAATGCAGTGCTTTTCCTATTCTCTTCAGCAGTATTTGAGGGTTTTTAGTTCATTTTCTGCTTTCTTCCTTACTAGTCTTAAGAAAGTACAAATCATGTGGGTTCCTAAAGGAGCCGAGGATGGGCGGTCAATGTTGTGAAAGGATGATGTGTGGAAAAGGCAGAGGCGGGGAGATGCTCACACATCTGGAGGAGTCACAAAGCCAGTTCTAAAAGTGAAAGCATTTCTGTACAAAAGATACTGAATGCTAAGACACTTCTGTAGATATGTTTGAAATGTGAAACCAGTTTTGTGAAAGGCATCCTCGGTTTTAAGCCCTTAACCAGCTTTGAACAGCTTTGTATATTGGGTGTCTTTGCATGTATGTAATCTAAGACCCTCAGTGGATTGGACAATGTTGGTTCCAAGGTGTTTAACTATCAACTCCAATTGCCTACGCGGGCCATTTACTTGTTCCTTGGGAGCCAGGAAGTTTTTGCCTTCATAGGAGTCACCATGGTGACTGAAAACAGCTTCCAAGTGTGAACTGTACAACAAGTTAGGCACAGTGTCTGTTTGGGAGTGGACAGACAGACAGCCCAGTGGGGGAGGTTCTATCTGAGACCTAGGTGCAAATTTAGGCACAGTGGGACTGAGGGGCATGATAGAGAAGACCAGAGGAAGGACAAAGAGATGGCTCAGAGGTTACGATACGTTTGCGCCTTCAGAGGGCTGGGGTTTGATTCTGACCACCCACACAGAGGCTCACAACATCTGTAACTCCTGTCCCAGGGTATTCGATGTCCTGTTCTGGTCTCTGTGTATGCCAGGCACACACGTGCTGCACATATATTCATACACATAGAACAAAAATAAACCCTCAAAGAAAAAAGAAGACCATAGCCAGAGAAGGCTGAGGAAGACATTGTAAGTAGTGCAGGGTAGCTCCTGAACAGCAAGGAAGATGAGATTGAAGGGCGGGGCCAGACAAGTGCTTAACCCCCAACTCAACCCAAGAAACAAGCAGACACTATTTATGCATATTAGACTGGAGAGTAACAAGCTCAAAAATCTTTCCTAAAAGCCATGTTAGGCTGGACTCTATGAGAGCTGCTGGGTGCCAGAGCATACTGGGTTCTGGGTAGAGTAAGAATAAGCAGCAGGTAAAGAGTTGGTCACTGTCTAGACCGTGCAGTTATAAATGAAAAAGAAATAATGTTCACTTTTGCTTAGCAAGTGCTCAAAGGGGCAATC